TTGTACGTGTGAGTCTCAATCTTGACGATGCGATCGTCAAAGATCGGCTCACCGGTAATATTCAAGATATCAATCATCTCAAAAGTTGCGCAAATCCCAAAGATTGTAAAAATTTAACTTTCGACGCACTGAGCTTCTTCTTACTGACGCAGTTGGATAAGCGAGCGTTATCAAGCGGTGATGTTACCAGCCTTGTAAAGAATCCGTTATCTCTCTGCGTGCGCTCCGCTCCGTTCAATACGAGCATCTCACGCTCGCTGTCGCTGTCGCACGTGCAATCTGACGGTGATCTCCTCTCCGCGAAAATCGAGCAATCGTCCGTTCTGGTCGACGACGCGTATCGTTAGATCCGTAATGCTCCGTGCCGTGATCGGCAAGTAAATGATCTGCGTCAGCCTCTCCGATATCTTATATCCTGGTGGCACGTTCGGCGAAAATTCATGTATCGTGTGCGCGCTTTTGCCGTTGCTGTACGCGCCCGCGGTCACGTTACACTCTACGCGGATAACGTTTACGTTTATTATGTTGATCGACAGATCCGATTCGTGCCATCTTCGCGGTCGCAGTATACGCTTCGACGAGAACGACGATCCCACCAGCGATCCAATGCTGTTGGGCTTGCCAAAGTTTATTCTGTATGCACATCTAATCTCGCATCTCATCGTGTTGTAGTTTGCGCAGAGCGTAATCGGGTATTCTCCACCTTCATCATTATCGTCATCAGTGTCATTGTTGTTGTTGTTGTTGTTGTTGTTGTTGTTGTCACCACGCACTACGTCAACGGTTTCAAGTGCGTCGTGGTGCGAACATTTGCGTAAAATCGTACGTTTCAAAAATTCATTTATGTCTCGCACTTCGTACGAACCCTCGGGAATTGTAATTTCTGCGTCGTCTTTGCCAAAATAAAATTTATTGTTCGATTCGTTTACATTCGGTATCGTGTGATAAGTTTCAAAAATCATCAGACCGAGCTCGTAATCGCCGTCACTTAAATCTATGGAGGGAAAGTAGTAGGTTCGCCGCGAGGACGGTGCTCTTCCCGCTCAGCGTAAGTGTTAGCAACATGACGGAAAAAGCGTTCGACTAATACTGAGATTTTACAGCACCTCGTCAAGCCTTTTAAATTCACGCGCGTCTACCGTTTGTAGAAACCGCAGACACATTTGATAGCAGAAGCTCTGATCGTACGTCTGACGTACGATTGTACTCTATCGTCGTAGCACCGTTCTCGAAATATCGCACGAGTTCCTTGGGCGGTCGAAGATTACCGAAACTGTCAAAGTATACGACGCGGTTCCTCTTGGCGTAC